TGTGGTATACATAATGCAGACACAGATACTTAAAATATATCTTAAAAAGAAAAAGGTGCATAATCAGGGCCGGCTCTGGCTTTTTTGCCACCCCAGGCAAAAAAGGCTCCCGCTGCCCCCCCCTTTACCCCTCCCCCAGCGTGGCAGGGGAGGTTGCCGAGCCGGGCCGCAGGCCGATCTCCCCAACCGGCCAGAGCGCCGGGGGGAGGGCGGCGAGCCAACTGCGGCTCCGCTCTTCCCGGCAGCCGGAGCGCCGCACCGCGCCGCCCCCCTCCAGGTGCCGCCCCAAGCACAAGCTTGGTGGGCTGGTGCCTGGAGCCGGCCCTGTGCATAATAATATGGGTGACAGCTTTCTAAGAATGATTTTTTTTCAGGACAAACACACAATAGCAACAAAAGAATTGAGAAATCTTCTGTTTAACTTTTTTAACCAAATTATGTACAAATACTTTAGTATTTTGTACTATAATTGGTTTACTGATATTATACAGAACTTTTACTGTGATATGTTTACAAAAATAATTATAACTAATCCTAAAAGTGCTGTTTGCTTATTTTTCAAGTGTATATTGGAATACACCCTCATAAATAAGCATGAGAAATACAAATTCCTGCTGCTGAATATATAAGACTATATTCTTCCACACTTACAATTGCTGAAATCAGTGGGACTTCTCATATTAGAGGTTTTGAAACAAATTGATAAATTAAACAATAATAAGTCACCAGAACCAGATGGTATTCATCCAAGTGTTCTGGAGGAACTCAAATACGAAACTGCAGAACTACTAACTGTGGTATGTAACCTATCACTTAAATCGGCTTCTGTACAGGATGACTGGAGGATAGCTAATGTGACACCGATTTTTTTTTTAAATAGGCTCCACAGGTGATCTTGGAAATTAGAGGCCAGTAAGCCTAACTTCAGTACCAGGCAAATTGGTTGAAACTATAGTAAAAAACAGAATGATCAGACGCATAGATGAACATGATTTTTTGGGGGAGAGTCAACATGGCTTTTGTAAAGGGAAATCATGTCTCACCAATCGACTAAAGTTCTTTGAGGAGGTAAATGTGGACAAGGGTGATCCAGTGGATATAGTATAATTGGACTTTCAGAAAGCCTTTGACAAGGTCCCTCAAAGGCTCTTAAGCAAAGTAAGCAGTCCTGGGATAAGAGGGAAGGTCCTCTCATGGATCAATAACTGCTGAAAAGACAGGAAACAATGGGTAACAATAAATGGTCTATTTTCAGAATGGAGAAAGGTAAATAGTGGTGTACCTCAGGGATCTGTACTGTGACCAGTGCTGTTCAACATATTCATAAATGATCTGGAAAAAGGGGTAAACAGTGAGGTGTCAATTTTCAGATGACACAAAATTACCTGAGATAGTTAACTCCAAAACAGACTGTAAAGAGTTACAAAGGGATCTCACAAAACTGGGTGACTGGGCAACAAAATGGCAGATGAAATTCATTGTTGATAAATGCAAAGTAATGCACATTGGAAAACATAATTCCAACTATACATACAAAATGAGGGGGTATAAATGGCTGTTACCACTGAAGAAAGACATATTAGAATCATTGCAGCTAGTTCTCTGAAAACATATGCTCAATGTGCAGCAGCAGTCAGAAAAGCTAACAGAATGTTAGTAATCATTAGGAAAGGAATAGATAATAAGACAGTAAATATCATAATGCCACTATATAAATCCATTGTATACCCATGCCTTGAATGCAGTGTGTAGTTCTTGTCACCCCATTTAAAATAAAATATATTAGAAATGAAAAAAAGTACAGAGAAGGGCAACAACAATGATAAAGGGTATGGAACAGCATCTGTATGAGGGGAGATTAAAAAGACTGGGACCTTTCCGCTTGGAAAAGAGATGACTAAGCGGGGATATGATAGAGATCTATAAAATCATGAATGATGTAGAGAAAGTGAATAAGGAAGTTACCCATCATGTAACACAAGAACCGGGTGTCACCCAATCAAATTAATAGGCAGCAGGTTTAAACGAAACAAAAGGAAGCACTACTGCACACAATGCACAGTCAATCTGTGGACCTCATTGCCAGGGCATGTTGTGAAGTCCAAAAGTGTAACTGGGTTCAAAAAATAATTAGATAAGTTCAAGGATGCTATGTCCATCAATGGCTATTAGCCAAGATGGTCAGGGATGCAACCCCATTCTCTCAGTGTCCTAAGTCTCTATTTGTCAGAAGGTGGGAGTAGATGATGGGATGGATCACTAATAAGTTGCCCTGTTCTGTTCATATCCTCTGATGCATCTGGCGTGGCCATTGTCGGAAAATGGGATACTGGGTTAGATGGACCATTGGTCTGACCTAGTATGGCCATTCTTATGGTCTTATGTCTAAGATACTATTCAGCATGAAGTAAGGATGGTAGAATCTGGCCCTAAATTTGTCATATTTCAAAATAATGTCTTCATATTTACCTAGTGTTCTATTGGAAATTTACTAAAAGTTCATACCTTTAGCAACTATGTATTTTTGCATTAATTAAAACTAAATAAAAACAATGTTGATATTTAAAAATTAGTATTGGGTAAATTGTAGATTGAAAGTAACAAATCAGCAGTTTTATATATAAAAGTGAGAGAGTTTAAAACCTTATGATTGCCAACCACTTTCTAGCCCTTTTTTGCTTACATGATTGAGTTTAAAGTCCCTTTGGTTTAAGCAAGCCAAAACTACTGCTGTGGGCAGATGGTAGAGAGAACACTACCACAAAACCTGCCACTCAAAGTGTAACAGATGACTGTAGCTACAGAAAACTGTCCCTTTGTTCATTTTGCTAATGAGTGTCCTCATTGCAGCATGAGACTGAATAGTTAATTATTTGCAGTTCTTGTTTATAACAGATGGTGGAGCTAGAGCTAAAGGTTAGCCATGCAAAGCACAAACCATAAATTGATCTGTGAGTAAAATAAGCCTACTATGTTTTTCTGAATTGTTGCATTAAAACAGTAAGAGATAAAAAGACTACATTTCGATTTTAAAACATCATTTAAAAATTTTACACTTTGATTCACATAGCAAAGTCAAACATTTCTAGTTTCATTTATGATGATGGTGATCCTCACATCAGCTGTTGATGCTCAAATTCTGCCTGGGCAAAGGAACTCATGCCTAAGCCTATTACGTTCTGAAACAGTTATTTAAAAGGTCTTTTGAAATTGTAAGTTTGTTCTGTAATGGTTTAGAGTTGAACAATGTTAGAGGAGAATGATAAATAATCACTCAAATATTTTATTGGCTGTTTTCTTAACAATCCCTCTGCAGCTTGTTAGAAACTTCCTATAGGATTTCCAAGGTTCTGGAAAGAGTTCTTGTAAAAATTAATCCTAGTCTAGTAACTAACTAATAAGAATAACTAAAACGTTGTTTTGTTAGTTTGAAAATCTGTATTACTAACTTAAGATAATTTCATTAACTAATATTTGACCTTTCTAGAAATTGCTACTTCTTAGCAAAAAAAAGGGGAGCTACAAACTAATTTTAAGGTTGAATTTTTAAAACACTCTGGAATTTTATCCACCTGATTCCCAGTAAAATCATTGAGAGTCCTGTGGCCATAACTCTATGTAACACTTTGATAGTTTATTCCTAAAAGTTTAAGTGAGCACAAGGGACTGAGAGGTGGTTTTGTTTTGTTTTTTGAGAAAAACATTTGAAATAGTTGTGCAGGAGAGAATGTTTGCCATAAATATATTTTGGTTTTGAGTTCAGGTTTACATGTTTTCTTAAAAACTCAGAATTTTACTTCCAAAGTTCTAGGTACCAGATTCTTACTTTTTATCAGTAGGTAACCTAGAAAAAGAGGCCCTACTTTCACATGCTTATTTTTGCCATGTGAAACAAATATCTTAAATTTTCTTTAGTAAACAAAGTAATTAATAACCTGTTCTTTGTTTTTAATATTTTAAGGATTTCAGAATTCAGTTCGATAGGCTGGTATTACTCTAAAGTTTTGTTCCATCTTCCGAAAGCTTTTCTGTAATTTTAAAAGAAATATGTGGCAGTAAAATCTGGACAGCCATAAGACAATATATTCAAATGTTTTCAATAGCTTTGAAACAGACAAGAAAAAAAGAGTAGCTGTCCCAATAAGCTTCAGTTGCATAAGAAGTCTTTTCCATAATGGATGTGGCAAGATTTAAACAAAGGACACGCATAATAAAAATGTAAATGAGTTTGCTTTACTAAAACTATAACTTTAAAGTCTTTTGTTGTATGTTATCCTGGAACCTTCTTACTAGGTAATCACTGTTTGCATAGAGATTTAAACCATAGTCTTCAATAGCATTAAACCCCTGCACGGTCTATGTGTGACAGGCATGCAAAGCCATGTTAATGTTCAGAATATGAATTGCCTCTGGGTGGCTCCGACACCAAGTAGAAAACCAACTGTGTTGGTATCAGAAGGCCTGATGGACTCCATGCGGCTCCCAGCCTGAAAACTTCACCACTTTGACATGTGATGTGCTCCTCATGACACTGGCAGCACTGTCACTGAGAAATGGCACAAAGGCAACAAGCCCCCCTCCTTAGCCATGCACTTTGCAACCCCCTGGTGTTGCCTGTCCACAATCTCTCCTGCCTGCCTAGTTACGGACGGCACTTCATAAACACAGAGGGAAGTGTGGGTGGATAGGCCCCAGCTGCCTTCCTGGACACAGCCTCCATAATAAATTGACCTGAATGATGAGGGCACACAAACAGTATGATATGCATTATTCCTGTCAATAAAATGTCCCCATGTGTTATGGCTTTGTATATAATGTACTGCAGTCTTTCTTCCAGCAAGATCCTATTTAGTCTCTTGACTTTTTTGTATTCATATTATAACTGTGTAATAGAATTCAGAAAATTATATGATAGCTGTGTTGTATAATTATTATATTTGTGCAGCATATTTAAATCCTTGATTCTTTACTTAGAAATACAAGGGTTTTCAATTTTTCAGATTATTTTTGACAACGATGATGACAATGAAAAAAATATGCTCGAAAAAGAAAATGAGGATTTCAGAGAAGAGGTTTCTAGACTACTTGATAGGATTTCACATCTTGAAGAGTCTCTGAAACGCAGTGAAAAAGAAAATAATAAATTAGGTAAAATTTTCATGTGATGTTAGGTCAAGATGACATTTAAATATAGTATGAATTAAATATTAAATATTAAATATTAAAATCAAAATGCAAATCTAGTATGGTCCAAAAATGTGGTAAATTATTCTTGGACTTTCTATCAGCTTGTTTTGTACTTTTTAATTATTCTAAACTTTTTTGAATATTTATATTTACTTTTTTACTTATGATAAAAGAATATTTGTTTATATGGAAGTTGAGACTTCTTATGTTGGTTAACAGTGTTGCTGGAGTTCATAAAATATAACATTGTTATTTTGTAGTCTGCAAAATTACTAAAATCTGAGAAAAGTGTTATGTAAATATTTATATTTGTAAATGATTAAATATATTGTTAGTTTTAATTTAGTTGCCTTAAGATGAGGAGATAAAATGGACACTGTATATAGAATAGGTTTCTGTGCTTGTACCTATGTATTAACATACCCTTTCTGGGAAAAAATATGAATTATATGTTTGTGTAGAAGTCTACAAGAATCAATCTCTTTTTCAAGTTATCAACACTGTTTTCAGTACAGTTACTTTACAACATTTTTTAAAAGGAATTCATTTTGTCTTATTCTGAAATTGAGAGTGTGTGTGTGTGTATATATATATATAAACAAACATACACACCAGTCAGGTTATAAGAACAATTAATAAGTTCAGTCTTTACTTTCAAGTTACCACTAGTATATTGTCAGTGTTAGAAAGCTCTTATGGACAGCTAGAAATCTATGGCATTAGAACAGAATTTGTGTGGAAAATCTGGCTTCTGACTTTTGTACATCCAAATAGATTAGATATAATAGTACCTTTATAGTAGAAAGATGAATTTGACATAAACAGTATTCTTTATTGCTGTTTATCATCTGATTTAATGGCGCTTCTCATCTTTTCATAGTTTTGTTTGAGCAATAAAGAACCACCTGCTAAAGCACTTTGTATTGGCTGTGACTAACAGCAAGGATGTCCAGAACTAGTATTAATGAAAAGCTGTGGGCACTCAGCCACACTTGGCTCTTGAACTTACTTCTTAATCTCTATCTGACCAGCCGGCTGAACAGCAGGAAGAAGGCTATGAATGTCAAGGGCAGTTGTGAAGGTCAGAGTTCTGGTAGGACTTTCATCCACTGTGCATTCCACTAGGCTTAGACTGACCTGAAGCATACAATATAAATACATTGATGTAGGCTTGTAATTTCATGCTCTACCTTTCTCCCTATTTGTTTTCAGATAAGGAGGTTCGAGGTATGCAATTAAAAATGGAAAAAGATGAGAAAACTGTTCAAAAGGTACTGTACTCTTTTGACAGTGATGGATGTCTCTCTAAGCAGAAAAGCAGCAGGCTTGGGTTATTCACAAAGTCTATTCCAAATAATATGAGAAAGCTGAAAAATAGTCAATATCATTTCAATTGTTTCAGATTTTGTTTTATGTTTGTGTATCGCAATGATGAGTAAAAATGAGCTGGTATTCCTGCCTATGCAGAAGTTGGTGGTTCAGATTGTCTTCCTCCTGTCATGTCAGCATTTTAACACTATTAAATTAGACACTTTCTCACTTCTGAACCTCAGCAAACTGTATTGGAGTTGGGTGGAGTACTTTCATTAAAAAGAAGGGCACAAGTATATTTTTAGAGGAAGAGTAACAAGGATCAAATATGGAAGTATCTGTAATTTTGGGCAAGAAATGTCTTATTCTCGATAACCTGTGGTTCGCTGTGTATTTTCTGTATTTCTGGGTAATGTTATTAATTTGTCTTCAATATTATTTATGTGCTATCAGTACAAAGCGGTAGTTGAACAAGACATAGTAAATACAAATTAATGCTTCTTGGTATAGGGAAGTTCTAAAAAACAAAAACACCTCATTGAGAAATGGGGGACATAGAGATCTATTTAGATAACATGCCTAGATATCATGCCAAATGGTTTTCTTCTCTACAGTGCATTATTCCCTTTCTAAAAATGAAAGAGAAATCAAAGAACTTCTTCCCATTGTAGAAAGTGGACTCTTTCCATGAAACATTTTTCAATGTGATCTATATCCCTTTTTGAAGAACTTCAGTTTAGCAAGGTCTTACCCTTTTCATTAAGGTATTTTCATCTTTGTGGTGAAATCTCTGGGAAGTAATGACCCTTTATATGATAAAAATCTTCATATTAAGTTGTTTTCACTGTCCAGGGAGAGGAAGAATTCTGTTTTGTTGAGGCACAGGAATGAAAGTCAGGAGATCTGGGGTTCTATTCCCACCTCTTCCTTAGACTTTCCTTGCAAAGATGTCACTTCTCACACCTCGCATTCCCCTCTGTTAAATGGGGATAATACCAACCTACCTCAGAGGGGTGTTGGAAGGCTAAATTTGTTAATGTTTTTAAACTTTTGAGATCCTATAGATGAACCCTAAAATTAGAAATGGAAGCTAAAGATGTATCCTAAGATTAGATATGGAAAACTCCTATTGGTCCATCCAGTACATCTATCTGCCAAAGGAGGATTGTTCCCTACAGTACATTTTCTAGTGTATTATTTATATTGTGGAACTGCCCAAAGGCCCCAACAAGATTGGGGTCCCATTGTGTTAGGTTCTATACAAATTATATATAGATGAAACAATCCCTGCCCCCAAAAGTTTACAGCCTACAGTTTGTCTAGTTTAGTTTGCAAAGTCCTAATCCATGGGATTGCTGACGCTTCTTTGGAGACTGTTCCACAGCCTAATGCATCTCACTGCTGGGAAGTTTTTCCACTGGGTACTGCACTGAAAAAAAATTTTGGCTTGATATCTAGAATTTTTGCATTAGATAACTTTAAAATTGGGTTAATTTTTAAAATTTATACATGCGTGGACTTAGTCCTCAATGACAATAGGTTTCTGACATGCTCCCCATTAAAAAGCCTAAGTAAACAGGTTATATATACTGAAGACTTCAAGAGTCAAAGAAAAAAGAATATCTTTTCCCTCCCCAGAAAGCCATCAAGCAGCAGTTGAACTACTCCAAAACTGCCACTGCATCTTGACTGCATCAGCCCTTGTGAATGCTCTCCAAACACCCCCATTATAGGTGTGTGGTTTGACTGTTGAATCAGAGTAATCCTCATTCAGAATACTTCCCTCCATGGTAGGGGCTCCCTATACCCATTCTTTATGCTTTGCAGATGGTATAGATATCCTAGTCAGACTTCTTCCACCTAAGCAATGGAACACCATTAGTTTGACTGTGTTCAGAACTTCATGCAGTTCTTATTTGGGCCAAAGGATTTGTCTCAGAAAGCTGTTTTTCAGAGTGCCCTTCATTTTAACCTGCAGCTCTCTGGAGATCTGATCTTGTGTATTTAGTATGCACATTCAGGGTGTGTTCAATACAAAATTAAAGTGTGAATATTTGGGGTGTGAATTGCACATTCTGCATGTGGCATTCCTAGTGCACCGTCAGGCTTGTTTCTAGGTATCATGGTATGTGCCAGGATGCCCATCTGTCTATCATTCATTAGGTTAAATATATGCTGTATTTTCTATGGTAAACTATATTTAGAAAGGATTTTGGAAGAATTCTACTTGCCTGTAATCTAAAATGCAACATTACTTTTTATGCTTTTATTTTTAGTTAATTGAAGCTCAAGAAAAAATAAAGATGGAACTTGAAAAGGAGAGGTCATTAAATCAAAGTATGGTAAGATTCTTGTGCTTAAATTATTTTTATGAACTGCCATGTGTTTCAAACTTCCTAAAAATGGTTGTTTTCAGATATATAGAAACTTTTTAATTTTATTTAAATATTCAGTTTGTTCTAAGTATCATATGCAGCGTATATGTACTGATTGATTTTTTTTTTTAGAAAAATAAAAAAGCATTTTTTAAAGAGGTTTTTGGAGAATCAGTTCAGCAGAAGCCTAAATTTTACTCTACTAATAGAAGAAACATACAAAATGATTTTTAAAGATTTTTTTAAAAGAACTTAAATATTGTTTGGCACAGAAGAACTTGGAAAACATTTAACATTATGTGGAAAGGTTTGCTACTATGATAGAGGGAGCCTTATCTTAAATATTTTTGTATTCTGTATTAGTCTCATAAGAATACTGCCTTTTATTTTCTTTTTACGTGTTTCAAGAACTTTCCAGATGGCTGATTGTTTATTTTATCATTTGACCTTTTTTCTAACTTGGTCTCACAGTGGTTTTCACACTGGTCACCACTAGTATGTCTTTGTTACAGTATACTGACTGGGTTTATTATAATAAAAAATAAAACACAGCTTGACTTGCAATCTAAATATGCTGGAAAAGAATATGATACTGTTTAGAAGAGAAAAGGTTGTGAATAGAAAATCAGTACCACTTCAGTTACTTAAACATTTGCTTTTTTTCAGCTTGTCAAACTTTGTGCCAAGTCATAGCTGCTTTTACTTACTTTGTTTTGTTAATCTTAGCACAGTGTGTGTTGGGCTATCTTGACATAGGGCCAAATCCTGCAGTCCTTACTCAATCTTTGACTTCAATGGGACTTTTGCCCGAGTAATTGACAGGTTTCAGAGTAGCAGCCGTGTTAGTCTGTATCCGCCCGAGTAAGTACTGCAGGATTGAGTCTTTAGAAATGGATGAAAAACAGAATTTCAAGATTATAAAGGAAGCCTTCTTTGAAACAAGTTTTTAAAGGCTGAAAACTAAGAATAAGTTGATCTATGGACCTCTTTTTTTAACAAACACATTAGTCTTGAGAACACATTTTATATTTTTTTCTTTTAACTGGAAAAATGTGATTTTCTTGGAGTCAAGGATTCTGAGCGCACACAGCCAACATTTTTAAACTTGGTTGCCTAAAGTTAAGACCCTAAATTCATGTATAGGCTTTCAAAAGGATCTGTGTTATCATAAGCATCTGTCTGCAGGGCTGTCCTTAGGCATACATAGCATAGGGATAGGGCACCCGAAAATTTTGGGCACCCTGGGTCTTATTGTCCACCCTCCCGCCTCTTCCTGTCCCTTTTCTAACCCTTCCTGCAGGCTCCCAACAGCTGGCTGCTGCAGTCTGCGGAGTCTTCCTCCGGAGGGGATCTAGTACTTAAAAGTGAAAAAGCCTTCCAGCCTGCCAGACCTATTAGCTCAGCATTGAAACTGTTAAAGAGCCATTCAAGTGATAATGAAGCCATTTAACAGGCATTCGCCAACCCCCAGGTATATACTGTCAGTTTCTGAATTTACTGACAAAAACAGTTGTGCATTACTGTAATATTTACTCAGAACATGTTAGTCTATGGGACCTTAATTTAAAATTTGCTTTAAAAATATTTCATTAGTGTGTTGCTGAAGATTATAAAATCACATCTCTAAAAAATCCTTGCATAGATTTTTTGATGCACAATCTGAGTATTCATCTTTAGCCTTAAATGCTTGGATCTTCGGACATACAGTTTTTTAAATAAATCCTTCGAAAGATTATCCTTATCTAAAATACACATGCAAACCTAGGCTGCCGTTGGGCATAGGGGCACCAGTTTAATAACATAAGAACGGCCATACTGGGTCAGACCAAAGGTCCATCTAGCCCAGTATCCTGTCTACTGACAGTGGCCAATGCCAGGTGCCCCAGAGGGAGTGAACCTAACAGGTAATGATCAAGTGATCTCTCTCCTGCCATCCATCTCCACCCTCTGACAAACAGAGGCTAGGGACACCATTCCTTACCCATCCTGGCTAATAGCCATTAATGGACTTAACCACCATGAATTTATCCAGTTCTCTTTTAAACGCTGTTATAGTCCTAGCCTTCACAACCTCCTCAGGTAAGGAGTTCCACAAGTTGACTGTGCGCTGCGTGAAGAAGAACTTCCTTGTATTTGTTTTAAACCTGCTGCCTATTACTTTCATTTGGTGACCCCTAGTTCTTGTATTATGGAAATAAGTAAATAACTTTTCCTTATCCACTTTCTCCACATCACTCATGATTTTATATACCTCTATCATATCCCCCCTTAGACTCCTCTTTTCCAAGCTGAAGAGTCCTAGCCTCTTTAATCTCTCCTCATATGGGACCCGTTCCAAACCCCTAATCATTTTAGTTGCCCTTTTCTGAACCTTTTCTAGTGCCAGTATATAATACTACTGCATAGGGCCCAATAAATCCTAAGGGCGGCCCTGTCTGTCTGTGCTTTGAAAATCTAGTTGGCTTTGAAAATCTCAACCAGTGGGTTTGCACAGGTTTCACCAAGGACATAATTTGAAGGCATTGGAGTTGAATAGGTGTAACTAAGGTCTTATTTGTCCTCATTGAACCTTTATCACTGAAGATGATGTGTGAGATGGAAAGAACCCAGAATGACCTTCAGATCCCAGGTTGAGATTGCTGGGCTGGCAGCTAGAAAAGACATTTTTACGTGTAAACTGAGCTCATTAGATACAGAAATCACGGAGAGACAATAAATGTGGAGTCACATAATGTCACTTTTACTGAGACACTCCTCAGAACAGAACCACACTTAAAGGACTGTCTGCGTTTCCTCTCTATTCTTTTATAGTAGTGTGTGTTTCAAAGGCTGTGCCTCTTTCTTCAATTTACTGTTACCTAAGACAAGGCACAGCAAAAGTGGAAGTGAACATTCAAATTCATTGTAAGTTCTTCTAACATAAAAAACTATAGGCTTAGAATTCATAAAAATAAAAAAAAAAACAGAAGACCATGCAACATGAATGGAGCTATTGCACATACACATTTAGGGCCATATTGTGCCTTTAATATATACCCCTGAGACAGGGACAGTGTAGAATCATCTCAGTGCAGGCAAGGAGATAGGATGCTTCCTAGAGCTCCCTAGCCTGCATCTGCTGTGAGCTTTCCCTTAAGAGGGTGCAGCATGTGTCTCCCTCCAGCTGGCCAGCTCTGCTGGCTGAGATCAGAGGTGAGGAGGCAAAGCCCCACCTCTTCTCTGCCCTCTCCCCATCATTCAGAACTGCATAAAGACTACAGTTACAGCTAGTCCTTGCACAGAGGTGCAAAAGGGGTGAGGATAAAAGTTCCTTGAGCCTCCTCCCTCCCATTCCTATATGCAGACCAGACATAATCTGGCCCTAACTGTATATAGAGAGGGCAGAAGAGGAAAATCTTGAAAATATATTCAGGAAAACAAGCTTTAAAGAAAATTCTCTTTTTAATACCAATAAATACTGGTCCTTAACCAAGTGTAGTTCTAGAATAGTATTACTCCAAACGTAGCCCCTCTGCTCACCCAGAAACTCTTCTTTTGGTGTCTTCTTGGAGAAATTACAAAAACTAAGGCTCTCACCCTGCCTTTTGGCAGATGTATTAGTATACAGGGTGCAAAATAAATCAGTATATGGGCTTCCAGCCTTGAGGAAAAGGCTTTTCAGTTAATGTCAGCCTCTTTCTTCATTCTTCTTCTACTCCCCATTGAGTTATAGAACATCTGGTACCAAACTCATGGAATGTATCTCTGTTTGGTTAGGTGCACAGTTCTGAACTGAGGTCCTTTAATAGGGTGACCAGATAGAAAGTGAAAAATCGGGACAGAAGGTGGGGGAGTAATAGGTACCTGTATAAGAAAAAGCCCCAAATATTGGGACTGACCCTATAAAATCAGGACATCTGGTCAGCCTATCCTTTAGTAACCATAGTAAAGATACAGAGAATAGATATCAGGTTGCCTCTGAGATGTGGTGAAGGCATCCTGGCAAGTCTTGAGCACCTGTGGAACTCTCTAATATTATTTAACATACTTAGCTTTTTAGCCATATTTTTTCACAGCACATTACCAAACAAACCAACGTTAAATGTACAGGAGACTGAAGGAGTGCACTACCTCTTTAAGGGACAAGCTGCAGCTGACGCAAGGACATCCTGGGGTGTTACCAAGGAGGCCCTGCCCCACCCTAGGGAACAGGAAGCTGAAGCTGAGCAGGAGAGAAGGGAGTAGAAACCATGCAGGCTGCCATGGCTGGTGTTTTCTCTGACTCAAGGAGTCTAACCTAACCTGAGTCAGAGTTGGTTTTGTGGACGTTCTAAGTTGTGGAGCTCTGAATCAGGTTCCTGAATTATTACTGTCTTGAAACCTTATTAAAAGGGGACTAGGTATTTCGTAATGTGTGTTGGCTTCTCCTTGACCCACACTGTTAAAGCAAAAAAATTGCTCCCCCAACTGGGGGAAATTTACGGTGGGATACATCTGCAGCAACTGCAAACCAGGCTGTAAGGGGATGCATTACAGAAACCTATAAATAATACTGTGGGTCATTTCAGTAGCATGACATAACATCAGAAGTGGAATTTTATTATTATGGAAGGGGGGAAGCATTTACTTGTACAAAGACAGTTGCATGAGATGTAGACTTTTGGACTAAACTAGTGTTCAGCTCTGCCAATTAGGAGACATTAAGTTTGATTACCATTCTCCCACTCTCTTTCTCCTTGGAGTGGGAATACATAGTAAAGCAGATGGTGATCCTTTGGGAATGGGGAAGGGAAAGCGCAGGGGTAGAACCTCCCATCAGCTAGAAGTTACATGCCCTGTTGATCCAGTCTTCTTTGGGTAGAAAGAAGATGTCAACAATGTGGCTGATTGAGAGGGAGGAAATTAAAGAGAGAGAGAATGTGTGGGTGAGTGTGTAAAAGCAGACTGAGGAATGGAGAAATCCTCAAATTATATAGTGTCCTTGGGGGAGGGGATGTTTTGAATATTGAATGTAAATGTAAGTAGTAACTAAAGATCAGTCCTGGAGAAATGAATGATACAGCAGTACACTGGACAAAAGTTCTTTAAAGCTTTTATACTTTCAAATAATTTCTGCTGCTATAAAATTATTGTAAACAATTACATGAAGATTATGACATAGATAAATATAGTCATTTCTGGATTTTACATCTGTTGGCCTTTTTATTATAACTAATAACAAAAAGTTGAGAATATGGTATAAACTAACTTTTCCTACTATGGTAAATACTGACAAATTTAATACTGAAAAGAAGCTAGTATACAAAACTGGATCAGTTGCAAAGTTTTGGAAATAATTTCAAGTGTAAACTGCTAATTTAAATGCTCTTCTTTACTTTCTTACAATTTGACAATTATACCAATATTCGATTTTGTTCCATCATTTATAAAGATAAATTTGTTTTCCTCTTATTTAACAATGCAAATTTATAAGAAATACTATGCAACAATACTAAAACTATTGATTTTTGCTATTGTTCAGTATAAGTCAAGTAGCTGCTGCTGTTTTGAAATCTTTTGACCAGTCAGAGTTTACATCAAGCAAATCTTTCCAAGAAAAATTGTGGGCAATAATTAAGTCTCCCATGTAGTCCTATTCACAAGCAGTAAACGATGAAAACAAATTTTCAGTGTAATAGATCAAAGCACCAGTACATTTTGCTTTGAACATGGATAAAGCTGCATTTCATTTTTTAAAGAATTAGTAATTACTTATGGAAGATGTATATTTTTGTACACTTTTTGCAATATTTCTGGAAATGTAAGAATTTTAATTAATTAATTGTTCAAAGAAGTATAATATTAAATTAATAATGTCTCCCTCATCCTCTCTGTATTACATTTTATAAATGTTTGTGTCTGTACTTTTGCTCAGCTTTCTTGACATTCATTTTAACAGCTCAAAGAACAAAAAGACATTGAAACAAAAGTGGAAAAGAAGTTATCTGACCTAAAGGAAAAGGTAAGTTCATTTTACTTCCTAGATGGAGCATATACTTCAATTAATTTTATGATACTATGAAATACACCATATACACTTTACCCGTAATATATTTGCCTTATCAGACTTTTTCTCCCTCCAGTGGTTGCTTTTCCTACACTTCACTGATAACTAAACGAATACCATTTTGTTTAACTCTCCTCTCTTTGTTACTTTCTGCTTGTCATCCACATGGCTCTAGATAACATGTAATTGACTCAGTCCTCTCTTCCACTCACTCTCCCTTTGTAACGGAATACGGATTCACACTATTCTTAGTCATGGTAGTGAGATTTGTTAGGAGGGACTCGCAAATAAACATCATCCAGTTGTTGTCCAGCTGAAATGTGGCAGCCCTAATACAGCAACCTGAACATAAGAACATCAGAAAACTACTCAATATGCAAAACTACTCAAGATAGTTAAGTCACAGGCAGACTGCAAAGAGCAACAAAAGGATCTCTCAAAACTGGATGACTGGGCAACAAAATGGCAGATGAAATTCAGTGTTGATAAATGCAAAGTAATGCACATTGGAAAACATAATCCCAACTGTATGTATAAAATGATGGGATCTAAACTAGATGTTACCACTCATGAAAGAGATCTTGGAGTCATTGTGGATAGTTCTTTGAAAACATCCACTGCTTATGCTCTAATAAATCTGTTAGTCTCTAAGGTGCCACAAGTACTCCTGTTCTTTTTGCGGATACAGACTAACACGGCTGCTACTCTGAAACCTGTCAGTGTGCAGTGGCAGTCAAAAAAGCGAACAGAGTGTTGGGCATCATTAAAAAAGGGATAGATAAGACAGAAAATATCATATTGCCTCTATATAAATCCATGGTACGCCCACATCTTGAATACTGCGTGCAGATGTGGTCACCCCATCTCAAAAAAGATATATTGGAATTGGAAAAGGTTCAGAAAAGGGCGACAAAAATTATTAGAGGTATGGAATGGCTTCTGTATGAAGAGAGATTAATAAGACTGGGACTTTTCAGCTTGGAAAAGAGACGACTAAGGGGGGATATGATTGAGGTCTATAAAATCATAACTGGTATGGAGAAAATAAATAAGGAAGTGTTCCTCATAACACAAGAACTAGGGATCACCAAATGAAATTAATAGGCAGCAGGTTGAAAACAAACAAAAGGAAGTATTTCTTCACACAATGCACAGTCAACCTGTGGAACTCTTTGCCAGAGAATGTAGTGAAGGCCAAGACTATAACAGGATTCAAAAGAAAACTAGATAAATTCATGGAGGGTAGGTCCATCAGTGGCTATTAGCCAGGATGGGCAGGGATGGTGGCCCTAGCTTGTGTTTGCCAGAAGCTGGGAATGGCTGACTGGGAATGGATCGCTTGATGATTACCTGTTCTGTTCATTCCCTGTGGGGCACCTGACATTGGCCACTGTCGGAAGACAGGCTACTGGGCTAGATGGACCTTTGGTCTGACCCACTATGGCTATTCTTATGTTCTTATGTTTTTAATTTGGGCCTATCACCCTCAGGGAAACCTTGTCTAACACTTACAAGGCTTGTCTACATAGCAGGTTACTGTGTGGCAGGTAGTTGTAAGCCAAGCCATATTCCAGGACTTTTAGGGTATGTCTACATTGCGATAAAAAACCTACAGCACCAAGTCTCAGAGGCTGGGTCAGCTGATTCAGACCAGCTGCAGCTGTGCTGTGGGTCTTTTATCACAGTGTAGATGTACCCTTAGTGTGCTTTAGCAGTTTCCACACGGGACATTACTATGCAGGCAAACTGGTGTGCTGTAGATTCATACCCTGGTTTGCCATGCAGTAAATTGCTGTGTGAATAGGCACTTTAAAAATAATTGAAAGAATCTAAATAATGAGATTTCTTTTTTAATATTATGGGTGTACACCAAATTTTCTTTATACTAATAGTAATATGCAATATTATTGATTACAGGTTTCAGAGTAGCAGCCATGTTAGTCTGTATCCTTAAAAAGAATAGGAGTACTTGTGGCACCTTAGAGACTCTAAGGTGCCACAAGTACTCCTGTTCTTATTATTGATTACCTTTGTCTCCCCTATTCTCTGCCTGTGGCACATAGTAGTTTAGTGTCCTGAGGGCTGTAATACCCAGGTCTAATTTCAATTGTTGAGTTTAGTGTTTGAATGCTGGGTGGTGTTGGTGACCTGTGATATACAGGACGTCAGACTAGATGATCTGATTGTCCCCTCTGGCCTTAAATTTTATGACTATGACATTTTCAAATTTGTGCATAGCATTTGTCCCCAACCTTCAAACATAACAATATCCATCTTGTAAAATAAATCTATAAATTTGACATAAATCTGTCAATCAACAGTTAAAATATATTAACTAATCTTACTACAATGCACCTATCTGTACTCAAAGCATATCTTAAAATATTAAGTAACTGTTGATTCTCTTATCAGGGGGTAGCCACGTTAGTCTGTAGCCACAAAAACAACAAGGAGTCCGGTGGCACCTTAAAGACTAACATATTTACTTGCCCAAATAAATCTGTTAGTCTTTAAGGTGCCACCGGACTCCTTGTTGTTTTTGTTGACTCTCTTGAGGTGAATATTAGGATTTATTGACTGAAGAAGAAAATACTGACCGATGTGAGGTTTTTTTGTGTTTATGGCGGGGTGAGGCTAAGAATATAGGGCCAGATTTTTCAAGATATTTAGGCACCTAAACATGCAGACAGTGGGATTTTCAAAAGCACACAAAAAATTAGGCACCTAGGTGCTTTTGAAAATCTCACTATGTTTCTAAATACCTTGAAAAAATTGGCCCATTGTCAAGTAAATGTGATGGCTGCCAGAACCCTTAAACTTTGCAGTCCTTGCAAAGAATGATTATTTTTTTGTGTGTGTATCCTTTTTCATGTGTAGTTTTTATTTGGAATGAGATGAGGACTCCACCTGTTTACATGAGGGTGTAATGAGCATGTGATGTGAGAAAATTAAATTGTTATCTAATCTTGATGTTCAGGCTGTTATACTCAACATACCCTTCTCCCTCTTTTTGTTGGGCCAATGCCAACATTTCTCCAGAAAAAAATCCTCATTCACTTTATGCACCCAGATTTCCAACCAACCTTACAAAAATAAGATTCAAGCCTGCTTTATCAACAAAACTAAAACTAAATCATCAGCACATTACCAATCCTCAATGAGGGACTGTATGGCTCAGGGATTTGCTATAGGGATATGGTACCATCCACCTTTAGGGTCACCAGTTTTAATCTGGTTCATGTCAGCATAGTTACTGAAAGCAATTACTGTCTGATGACTCACTGATAGTCTGCGTGAAATGAACTGGCAATCTCAGTCCAGATCATTGCCTGGCTCCCTTCATTTTTCTTCCTCTTTACATGAGGCAGACACCTTCCTGCATAATTATAGATAGGTGATTGTAGAGAGGGAAAATATGGTATCTCATACGTAAGTCTTGTTCACTATATCCAGGCTGTCCATTATAATAAATCCCTCATCGTATTTGTTATAAATAGAGGTACGTACTGAGAAAGAAATATACACATCTTTAATACGTTATTTTAAGAGGGGTTTTTTAGTTATATATGGTTAATATTTTTCTAACAATTGACTGTCCCGCCTAAATAGGGATGGTTGGCAAGTATGACTCCATAGCCTGTTAAGATTAGTAATTTGAACTATTCAACCTAACTGTAGGGAGGTAGCAAAGAACCTAGTCTAACAGAAGAAATCTGAAAGTAACTATGTTTAAAGATGATGCTTTTGAACCATCTTCTGTACATCTCACTAGTTCCTGCTCTTTACCAAAGAATGTGTAGTGAGTCTGACTGTATAGTGAGACTCAGGCTAACTTGTTTGGCCTTTTGGACTGTAAATGAATAATACTGTTATGCAAAGTTTTGTTTTTTAGAAAAAAATTATTTTTGTTACAGCCAAACAAAATTCTTACACTTGTGGTCTTCCTTAACTTTTTTAGAGAACTTTATTTAATATCTGCAAGAAAAAAACTAGATGCCGCTTTGTGAACAGAAGATTTATATTTTGTTTCATCATTTCTGAAGACATACTGAATTTAGGATACACAAAGGTTTTGTTTGACTTCAGTTTGCGGTAATCCTTGATCTTCCTAAAACTTCAAATAATAGCACATAGCAAGCAAGTACTTAGGAGTTAATGTCTAAATTGATGTATTAATCACTTTTAACTTTTTCGAAGCTGTATTTCTTACAACAGTTATTTGGTGTAACTTATTAATCATACTTATATTTGGAAATCCATGGCATTTGGTGGGAACAGCACACATGCTGAGATAAACTGAAGTTGAGGCAGGTCTGGAAGGAAGGACAGAAACACTACCAGCTAAATGAAATTTATAAAATGTTTCAAAGCAGGATTTGTTGGTATTAGTACATAAAATACAGTATTGTTGAGTTTGGTGTTTCCTATCTTTAAATATATCTCAAATAAAACATTACAAGCATGGAGGTATATCAGGTCAGGAGTGAGTTGCAGTGACAGAATGCCTTTATTCAAGTATTTCTTTAATTATTATTTTGATTTAGATTTCAATAATAATAAGACACCTATCTAAGGCTCTTGATGCCCTAATACACCATTAATTGTACAATGAAACCAGGGCTGGCCTTACCATGAGGCGAACTGAGGCGATTGCCTCAGGTGCCAGACTGTGTGTGTGTGGGGGGGGTGCCACTAGGACCCAGAGTGTAGAAAATTGTGTCTGCTGATGGTGCATATGTATTCTCTCCGCTCGAGATGTTGGAGTGCTGTGCTAGAGGAAGGAGGGCACAAGAGATATAACAGACAGGCAGGAGAAAAGGTGAGAGGGAATAACAGAAAGCAGCAGGAGCTGCAGGGAGAGAGGAGGAGGAGCCTCTTCTGTACCTCTCTAGCACCCCCAGGAGCCTAAACTGATTAACACCAGCTTCTCGGGGAGCTTCCTGTTTCCTGCTGCT